CCAGATGCTCACAACGCATATACAGGAATTACTGTGGTTTCTTGTTTATGTGGCTTAGAGAATGGCTTAAATTGGGCAAACTTGATTGTAATGAGGTGCTCGTTGTCATTTGTGTGACCAAAGCGTTGTGAGAGTATGGATGATAATTGGAGGGGATTGTGAGGGAGACTTTGGCGAGTAACTTTCTTGTAAGTATTTTCAAGTGGACATCGTTATATAAGAGAGAATGTTAGTAGAGCTAAGAAATTTACACTTTTTTGGTTAGTTGTTCTTGTGCAAGCTCTTTCCAACTTGTTTTTTTTAATGAAATCTGCTTGATTTTATCACATCATGTCTAGGAACTAAATTTTTTATGTTTCTTTGGTTTCGATGTATGACAATGAATATTTTTTCATAAGTTTTAATTGAGAATTCGATGGAGTAATTGCATGTTATTATGTTAGCCTTTTGATCTTCTTTTACTTTCGATCCTACCAATAAAAATGTTAAAATACATGATATAAGACTTAAGACTGCTAACTAGAAGAACAAATAAGGTAACACATAATCACCCAGTGAAATAAAAATATTGTAGTAGGAGATTGCGACCAAGATAGATGATTAGTCGAATTCTACGAAACATTGCACGGTTAAGCCAACTTAACTCTAATACGAGTTTCCAATTCTTCTTATGATCTTGAAAGATGCCAACGAGGATTTATCCATGATTTGAAATTACTTGGAAGATTCTCTATAACAAAGGAGCATGATTCTCACTTGATAGAAATCCCTTGCTCACACTTAGGTTTTTATTTCTACAAAAAAATTAGGTTTAGATACTTAAAAACTCCCAAAATCTTAACTCTTCAAACTAAACTCAGAACTTTCACCACTTGTGAAAATTAACAAGTTTTCTCTCGTATTAATATACAAACTCAGATTCGTATATTATTTGAACGACACGTATACTTGTGTGGTTAACACATACTTCACAACATCACGATATCATATACGCAAATTTTTCTAAAAATAAACATAATACTCCACATACATACTATGAAAAAGACAACAACACTAAACAACAAATAGTTGAATTGAGAGAAAAATGATAACTTTCCTTCATTGTACATTTTTTTCTCAATCCCATCCTTGAACAAGACTATCATTTAGAGGAGAATTTATGCATCCAATCATTATGTTTTCTAGATGTAGTTGAGCTTGTTTGGTAAGACATAATGAGTTGCTATGAAAATGAGTTAATAGAATTAGGTGAATTTAACTTGCAAATGAGTGCCTCCAATCTCATATACATATCTAAATAGAGGCAGCATGATTTATCTACAATCTCATGCCTCCACTTTTTCAGTCTTCCTCACATTATATATATATATATAATAAATAATAATAATAATAATCATAAATCATAAATAACCAAATAAATTAGTGTTCAAAATTAATAATTAACTTATCAAACAGACTTTTAATAATTCATTATATTATATATTTAAATAAATGGGTATAAACATGTCTCACATAAATGAATATCAAATTGTCCGTCCAATCAACTAATAGATAGGGGTGTAAACGAACCGAACACGAACAAACAGAGCTTGTGTTAGTGTTTGATTCGTTTGAAATTTAGTTTGTTTGAAATAAGCTCGTGTTTGAAATTGTTCGTGAAGTCACTGTTCGTGTTTGTTTCTTAACGAATGAGTCGAACACGAGCTGTTCGCGAACGACACACGAGCTGTTCGCAACACGAGCTGTTCGCGAACGACGGACCAATTTTACATCCCTAATATTAATATATATAAGCAATATATTATATTAATTCTATAACTTATATTATAAAAATATATAATATCAATATTAGTATATACTAATATAGTATATTAATTTATTATTATTATTATTATTAATTTACTATATATTATAATTTGTAAAATTTAATTTTTTAAAATATCATAAATTTTTTGTATATATTTATTTTAAATTATTTTATATTTCAAACAATAACGGTTCGAATACGAACGAACGCATCACTGTTCGTATTTGATTCGTTTAACTAACTGAACGAAAAAAATTTGTTCACGTTCGTCTCGTTTATTTATCGAACAAATCAAATACGAATTCTTTTATAAACTGAACACGAACTGTTCGCGAACAACGAGCTTTTTTGACAGCCCGGCCCTACTGTTATCTAATTTGAATAAGCTTTGGTCACGTGCGCATTTTTTTTGGTCTGTTGGCTTAATTTATTTTGAACTTACGCATATATATATATATATAGATAATATTTGGATATGCCATCTAACTATTATATTCATATGCATAAAAAAAAGGTGTATTTTAACTTTCGAAAAGCTATTATAATTATATTTTTGGTGTCATCTGGTACAAATATAAAATAGCAAATTTTAGGTGGTAGAGATGTAAATGCATAGAAATTTGGGGGTATTTATGTAAATTCCCCACATCTTGACTATTCAGTATTTGCCACGGAAACTTCTTCCTCCATGGACGAGGGATGACGTGGCATGAATCAATCATTCACTCAAGCCTTACATATAGTATTACGTCAAAATAGTGTAGCTGCCTTCCATCCCAACCGTCCATTTTCCATCAAAAGTCGTGCTAAACTTGGCCGACTAAAAGCTGCATCAGTGCTCATCCCTGCATCCTTGCGCGTCCACACGTGTAAGCTCGTGTTCAATTATTACTCTGATTTCTTTCATAGTTTTTTTTCTCTCTATACTCTCTCACTTGCTCTTTGGCTTATATATAGAGAGCAATAGCTCCTATAAAGAGAATAGGATGGACTCTGTGCAGATCTAGTTAGTGAGAGAGAGAGAGAGAAATCTAGAGAGAGAGGAATCTAGAGAGAGAGAGAGAGAAGCATGGCTTCAAAGCTAGAAATGGCAGAGAAGATAGAGAACGGTGCTACTCCTCAGAAGTTTGTAGCCATGGAAGAAGAAGAAGAAGAGGACTCTAATGCTCCTAAGTTCAGGGGATGGAAGGCCATGCCTTATGTCATAGGTATTCTTTAATTTTTATTATATTTATAAATATCATTATTAATATAAGAAAATTTTGCAGTATTTTATATAGAACATTATAATTGTTAGCGCTTTAAAGATTTTTAACATCAAGTTTAAATATTTTGATGTATTTTTAAATTTTGTTTGAAATTGTGGGTACGTGTATATATTTCATAAATGGAATGATCAGATGTTATTATACGAGTTTCCAGTCACTTTTAATGTGTCTGACAATTTGAGTGCCATCTTTTAAAGGCTAACTGTGTCAGAGGGGATTGAAACCCCTGACATGAGGTGTCTTATACTGTGGATGCAAACCAACAGGTCGGGGTGATACTTTTATATTACTTAGCTGTCAAAATTATTTATGTGATGTGATGTAAATGCATATAAGCATTAGGTGTGGAAATATGGGTTTGTATTGTTTGAAAACATGTGGTTGGTTTGTGGGGTTTTGTTGAAATTTTTTTCTATTGAAATCTTTTTTTGTGAAGAATTTATGTTAAATATTATTTCATTAGTTCTCATTAAACAAACTTTGACGAGAAGATACCTTTTACTTTCCAATCTTTTTGAGCAGCTTTTTTCTCAAAGATTCCACAAAAAAGTACTTTTTACACAAAATTTTTGGTTTGGTGAGATAGTTTTTTATGATTCAGCTTATTTGGTGCGGTGCGTTTTGAAAACACACTCAGGACTGTTTGGGTAAATTACATTCTGACAGTTCAGTTAAAAAACTGTGTTTTCAAACCGCTGAAATCAATATCTTCAAACCACTGAAACGAGCGTTTTCAACAATATATGTTAAATTTCCAATTTTGTTAAAAACTTTGTTTTAATTACTCTTTTTTTTTTCAATAAAAGGTATTAACTTCAATAATTACTTGTAATTTTTTTTATTAATTTTGTTTAGTATCATAATTCTTTTTAATCGAAAATATTTATTTATTTTTTTAATATTTGTGACTAAAATTAGAAGAAAGCCTTTTAGTCACACCTAAAAGAAATTAAGCTTCATTATACTAAAATGTGCATTTAATCCCACCAAATTAGAAAAAAGCACCTTAAAAATACATTTTTTACATTAACATTTTCTAAATTTTAGAACTTGAATAATACTTTTATCAGAAAATTTGTTTTAGAGAATAAAAATTCATCATATTTATCTACCAAGATTTACATGCATACATACCACTCAATTCCTATATATTTACACATCTACCCTTCCTATGCATTAAAAAGCTATATTTTACTTTTTAAAGTTAAAAAAAGTAATATTTTTATTGTAATATAAGTATTAAAAGCAAAGTAATTTAGGCGTTAGATATGTAAATACATAGGAATTGCTTGGTATATATGTAAATATGCCATTTATCTAGCATTCTTATCATAAAACTTATTTAGAGACTAATATAATACACTTGACCCAACAGCTATTTATGTTGAAGATCAGATATACTATTAAAACAAAGTTTTTGGCAACACTTATTTAAATACAATTGTAAAAAATGGTGTTAAAATATAAAAAAAAATACATAAAAATATTTAAAATAGTCGCTAAAAACCTTTTCAAAGCTAAAAATTGCAACGATTTAAATTCCCCCATAATAAAAAAAAAACAGGATTTTTTACCTTTGTAGAAACTCATTTTTAGTAAGATTAAAGCTTTATTTGGGACAGCTGTTGTGAAACTGCTGAAAAATAATCTGATATTGCGAAAAGCTGCGGTGTCAATTTTTTTTTTTTTTTTTTGAAAAAGTTAGAGTGCAGCTAAAATGTTGGTTTTAGCGGCAACTTTTTGAAAAAGCTGCCAAAACATAGTTTACTCAAACGGCCAAAACAGCAATGTTGCGGTGCCGCAACGCTGCGCCAAACGGAGCCTAGGACGATGGATATATTAATTAAGTGTAATTAATTATGGTTAATATGCAATGATGAAAAAGGTAGACATGTAATATATACAATTGTGTGTGTGTGTAGGGAGACGTTTGAGAAGCTGGGGACGTTGGGGACGGCTTCAAATTTGTTAGTATATCTGACGACTGTATTCAACATGAAGAGCGTGGCAGCTGCAAGTCTGCTGCAGATCTTCAATGGCACAACTAATCTGGCTCCGATATTGGGAGCCTTCCTCTCCGATACGTATCTCGGCCGATATTATACTCTCGCCTTCGCTTCCGTTTCTTCTCTACTGGTATATGCTCATTTGTTATTTTCATTAATTATTACGGTGTCTACTAGAAGAGAAAATTTTGGGTACATAACACGTACGCAGCGCTGCGTATATAATGAAGGTTATATGGGCGTTATATCGGCATTATATTCGCGTTATATCCCTAGTAACTTTCATGTAACATCTAACATACCTAAACTTACAAATAAGTTCTGCGCTTCTGTTTTCACATATCTGTAGGATAGATGTAGTTTATATGAAAGTTATATGGAGATTGTGGATATAACACGAATATAATGTCAATATAACACCCGTATAACCTCGAGCGTCTTACATACGCAAATTTTTTCCCTACTAGAAAGCTATAGTGTGAATTTTTTAAAATAAAATAAAATTATAATAATCACCATAATTATTTTAAACAACAGTTTATTCTACAGCAACTTCACAGTTGCTTCTTCTTAAGACCGCAGCTCATATCATTTCTTTTTTTATTGTGACAATGACGTGTGTACCACGAAATTTATATGTATTTACATATCTTATAGCACCTAAATTTTATTTTATTTTTTTATATTTATAACAACAAAATTCATAAAATTATTATAAGAACAATAACTCATCACCATGTTTTTTTTTTTAAGAAAAAAGGAAAACATAAATGTTTACATACATACCACACATTTATTATGTATTTATATATCTAATATTTAAAATTTAATTTTCACATTTATAATATATATATGTCCCCGAATGAAAGATAAATAGGGGTATTTTTTTTATATAATAACATATCTACCAAATAGGCAAAGCCGGCATTATTTTTAAGTATATAAATCAAAGGGTAGGTGAGGTGCAAAATTATTAAATTACCTAAATTATTTAAGAGAACATATTAAATTTATGTTTGGGAGGCGTACTATTTACAAATCTACCACCATCTTTGGTCCATTTTTCAAATTCTCACTCAAAAAAGCAAAATTCATGACAAAACCCAAACGCTTATTTTTCATTTTATCAAATTATCAATGATTTGATCGCAACAGATGTATATACATCAGTTTGGTAGTTCAAATATATCACCTTAGTGCTAGCTTTTTTGTAAATATCAATATTTTGGGTCCTATGCATGTAGTTATCCCAAATGTGTGATATTTAGATAAATGCCCCCTTAAAAAAAAGGAGAAAATATTGCATCGTGCGAAGTCTAATGAAATCACGCCACGTGGCAGCGAAAAAAAAAAAAAATGTCCGGTAACACAAAAAAATATTCATCCCGTGTTATTTAGGTGTTATTGTGTGTTATTCAAATGATATTGATGTGTTATTGTTATTATAACATCGGGAATATTCCTAGAATACGATAATACCTGAATAACATACAATAACATGAAATAACATGAAGGGAATATTCCCCTATGTTACCGGACCGATTTTTATTTTTTCTTTGTCACCTACAGGTGACTTGATTTTATTGGACTTCTCATGCGACTCTACATGCAGAGTTCTGATGCAATATAGAAAGAAGCTTTAAGAAAAACATTTAGATTAGATTTTCTCTGCTCCGTCCACATCAACAATTTCAATTTTGTTACATTTGGGAGCCAATTGGGCGAGACAACGCGTGGCCACAGTTGAATAAGCAATTAATGACAACTATTTTGCATTTCAGCACATGTGGCCTGATTTATAAATATATAAATTTATCGACAATTATTGATTGATACCCTTCTTTGTCAGTTTATAAGTAGTCTTACTTCAATAAATAAACAAATACAAGTTCTTTGACTGACAATCCTAAATTATTCAATCACAGTTCCGCATGCATTTTACATTTCACCACATATTTTCAATGTATTTACATTCATAATTCTAAAATTTTCTTTCTTAATGTAGGGAATGTTCATCCTAACACTGACAGCTGCATTCAAAAGGCTTCACCCAACACCCTGCAACATCAATGGGCAACAATGCGAGGCTGCTTCGCCAATTCAACTATCGGTCCTACTCCTCTCATTCCTATTTCTCGTCATCGGCGCCGGCGGAATTCGTCCCTGCAACCTTGCCTTTGGTGCGGACCAATTCGATCCTCGGACCGAATCGGGACGAAGAGGAATAAACAGCTTCTTCAATTGGTATTATTTCACCTTCACCATAGCCATGATGATATCCTCCACCTTCATCATCTATATTCAGAGCAACATAAGCTGGACTCTGGGGCTGGGCATCCCAGCTGTGCTCATGTTCTTCTCCTGTGCTTGCTTCTTCCTTGGGACTAATCTCTATGTGAGGGTGAAGCCGGAGGGCAGTCCTTTCACGAGTGTGGCTCGGGTTTTCGTCGCGGCTTATCGGAAGCGAAATTTGAAGATTTCTGATGACGATCAATCGAAGTCTCTCTTCGATCCTCCTATTGTTGGTAGTACAATAAGAACCAAGCTTCCGCATACTGATCAATTCAGGTCTTTCTTCAAGCAATCTTATTGCGTTGAAATCCAGACTCTTTCTAGGGAGTCATTTTACTCCCAGAGTTTATAAAAGTGTCAATTTAGTCCACAAACTCTTTTTAATGAAGACAAAATAGTCCTCATTGAGGATTATTTCAACATGTCTTAAAAGAGTCTCGAGACTAATTTGACAATTTGATAAACGCTGGGACTAACATTTATTTTGATTACTCATTCTTTGTGTCAACATTCATGTTTCGCTACAAACAAATAATTCTAAATGCGACTTTGAAAATTTCTAATTCAAATAGTTGCATCAAGTTGTCTTTGATCGGTTGGAGTTTCTAATAACATATTGGACTATAATGTTGGAAATTTAGCGAAACCTAACTTTTGAGAAAATCAAATACAACAACAACAAAGAGAAGCCTTTATCCCACTAAGTGGGGTCAACTACATGAATCCATTTTCTCCATTGTGTCCTATTGAGCGTCATATTTTCGTTTAATTATAACAAATTAAGATCATTTTTTATACAACAAGCCTATGTTTTTTTAGATCTACCTCTACTTTTCTTAACATAAGTCGAATCTAAAACATCTACTCTTTTATCCGGATCATGTGACCGAACTATCTAAGAAGAGTCTCTCTAGTCTTGTTTACTGCTCAAACTACACCAACCATTTCACAAAGATATTCAATTCACATTTTACCTCTATTGTAAAGCTACTCATCCACCTAAGCATTCTCATCTCAACAACACTTAACTTAGTTTTATGTTTCTTTTTTATAGGCCAACATTTTGCTTCATAAAACATTGCAGACCTCACCACCATCTTATAAAATTTTCCTTTCAAGTCCAAGCAGTACTTTTTTATCACACAATAGGCCCGATTCATTCCTCCACTTCAACCATCCAACTTAAATTCTACTAATAACATCCTCCACTTCAACCACGAGTAAATAAAATAAAGCAGAAAAAAGAAAAATGCCATTTGCATTAAATATATAGGGGCATTTACATACATACTACTCAATTCCTATCTATTTATATATCTAATACTTGAAGTTTACATTTTCATTTTATATTTTCAAAATTTCAAACACAAATTTTCATGCATAAATAATGCAGCATGTACATAAAAATTGTTAGATATGTAAATACAAAAAGAGTATATATGTTCGCTGTATGTTTTGATCATGATGGTGGAGTTCTACATCAAAATTTACAACTCTAATATCAAGTAATAGTGTTTTGTTAACATGCAATTTAAAAATGTAGTTCATTGAGTCCTCGAGGTAAAAATGCAATTCATAAAAAAAAAGAGAGCTTAAATAGAAAACTAACCTGTTCGATCATCCTGATTTGCCATTCAGATGTCTAGACAAAGCTTCAATCATTGCAAGCCCTGAAGAAATCAAACCAGCTGATGACACAGGTTTGAATCCATGGAGACTCTGCAGCCTGCAACATGTTGAAGAAGTAAAATGCATAATCAGAATTCTCCCAGTCTGGTCTGCAGCCATGTTCTATGGCATCGGAGCAGGACAACAGGGAACCTATGTGGTATTCCAAGCCCTCCAATCCGACCGGCACTTCGGCAACAGCAGCTTCCAGATCCCCGCCGGCTCATTCACCGTCTTCAACATGCTCGCCCTCACCATCTGGATCCCCATTTACGATCGGATCATCGTCCCCCGGCTTCAACGGGTGACGAAAATCGAGGGAGGGATAACCCTACTTCAGAGAATGGGGATCGGAATCTTCATCTCCATCATCGCCTTGCTGGTGGCGGCCGTTGTGGAGGCGAAGAGGAGGAGCGCGGCGGTTCAAGAATTCGCCGGCGGGAAAGCCGTGTCGTCGATGTCGAGCCTCTGGTTGATCCCTCAGCTCATGCTCTTCGGGCTCTCGGAAGCTTTCGGCGCGATCGGACAGGTGGAGTTCTACTACAAACAGTTCCCGGAGAACATGAGGAGTGTGGCCGGATCATTTCTGTTTCTGGGGATGGCAATTTCGAGCTATCTCTGCAGCTTGATTGTGATGGTTGTGCACAGAACGACGGGAGGGAAGGGGAAGGAGAATTGGTTGGCGGGAGATTTGAACAAGGGGAGATTGGATCTGTTCTACTACCTGACGGCAGCAATGGCGGCTGCTAACTTAATTTACTTCATTGTTTGTGCTAAGTGGTACAGATACAAGGACCAGAAATCTGGAGCAGATGGGATCTCCATGGAGATGGCCAAAGCTTCTGATGGAGCTTTGGTTTGAGAGAATCCGGGCTGTTGAGTTGAGATCAGATGGTGGGAAAGAACGCTGAGAAAGTCGTGTAAAGATGTTGTCAGATTGGATGAGGGCTTATGATTTTAGTGCCCTTTTAACGTTAGAAGATCATATCAGCTATAAATTATTACATAAGCTTTTGTGATGTTTGATGTGTCATTTGTGTGAAAATGCATGGGTTGAATTCTAAATTTTGCATGAATCATGCCCAAGAAATAGAGAAGGAGAACACATGAAATGACATTTCTACCCCTTATCCAGATGGGGTTCGCAGTCATATGCGAATTGTTAATCATCCCCCAGTCATCTTTTGACACAGTCGACTTTGCTCGATAGGCTTTGTTTTGTCGGACATCCTCAGAAGGTCTGTCTCTTATGAGATATTTAACCTGTGTGGGGTGATTCTATCAGAAGATACTTTTGCGCCTGACTCTTTCATCCGATCCACTTGTGTGTCTTTTCGAATCGAAACTGCATCCCCTATCATGGATTAAATGTTGAAGATTCAAACATCCTTCTAATGAATCAGTTTGTGGATAATGATCAGTCAACCTCCAATCACTTTTTGGCTTGGTTGTCTCAACAGGACTCACAACCTCCTTGCAGAAGATCTTCCTTTATCATACTTCTTTCCTTTATCGTACTTATTTATAAATGTAAAAAAATTTTATGAACTTAATATTTATATAGGACTAATTAACAATCATCTTAAATATTAATTAATCCAAAAGTGATAATTATAAATACAGTCCCTTCAATAAATCCATAACCCAATTTGTACCCTTCCTCGTAGAAGCAATTGATGCTTAAAAGCTAATGCCATGCAGCATCTTTGATGTGCAAATAAAATTCATTTTCATGCCATTGAATATAAACTCATGTAATTACTTATATTTAGGAGTATTTACAAACAATTATACACCCAATTCTTGCACAATTACATATCCAACACCAAAATTTTTCATCTATTAACTTTGTAAATAATGAATACAATTCTTTACATTTATACAACCAAAATCAAAAGAGCCAATTTTGAACTTAAATTTCTTACTCAGGCCGGCAGTGCGTTGGCGGTGTGGCATCACACCGTAAATTTATCTGTTTCAGTAAACTGTGTTTTGCCACCACTCCTGACAAAGTACAGCCGTAGCTTTCTAGCTGCGATCCGACTTTAAAAAAAAAAAAAAAAAAAAAAAAAACTTTTTTGCGATAACCACTGCAGCTTTTGAGCATCAGATTATTATTCAACAGCTTCTCAGTTGTCTGCCCAGATCTCTATAAGAAAATATGTCCTAATTCGAACCAATTCTCAACCATCCCTTAATGGAACTAGCAAACCCTAATTGGGGTGCATTCTCTTTGTTCTTCCAAGAAATCGAATGGGCATGAAAGGGAAAAATTCCTTCAATAAAGACATAAAAAAAAGCTAAAAGCGACAAAGAAATTCAGTTTCAAGGTATTATTATTACTGTGAAGGGGGAACTCAGTTACACAGACGAGAAAATCCACAACATAAAATCATTCATCAGTGTCTAGCGGCAATATTACAATTTAAATCAGAGAAATCTGCATCCTCTGCCATCCATGAACCTCTTTAAAGCACAGAACACTCCTGCAAGCATTTTTTACAAAAGAATTAGCAGAGTTCTCAACAAAGAAATCTTATTTACAGACCATAGTTGCAGTTAGGGCAGTCAATTTGGCTCGTTGTTCATGAACAACTCGTATTCGACTCGTTAAGTAGCTCGTGTTCGGCTCGTTCGTGAACACGAACAAATTTTTAAGCTCGAAATGTAAACGAGCCGAACACGAATAATAATTTGTTCGCTCGTGTTCGGCTCGAAATGACTCGAAAAAAAATTTATATCACTTTTTATATAACAATATATTACATATATTATTTATATAATAATATATTATATATATTTATGTGTAAGTTTAAATCATAACGTCTCATGTGGCAATATGGTTAGTGTCTGCTTTTGTATATTTCTCAATTTTAGTTTAACGAGTCAATTTCGAGCCGAACACAAACACACTGTTCACGAGCCGATTTCGAACACGAGCTATTTCGAACGAGCCGAACACGAGCCGAGCTCGGCTCGTATACAACCCTAGTTGCATTATTACGGATATATTCACTCAACCAAACAGGCCTTACAGGGGACATTTACATGACACCACCCAATTCTTGTGTATTTACATATCAAACACCTAAACCTTAGCTTTTACATTTATAGCACCAAAATCTTTCATACCGCATCAAAAAAATATCACCATTTTAACTTTTAAAAGACGAAATACAACTTTTCATGCATTGGTAAGGTGGTATGGATGTGGAAATTGAAGTATGGGTGTTCGATGTGTAAATGCATAGGAAATGAGTGGTATGTATGTAAATCTTCCAAGTAAAAGACCTTCAAGAAGTGCTGCATGGCAGGTGGCAACAAGCAAGGGGAAATGAAATAAAATAAAATCTGGAAATTCACGTAAATATTATGAAAAAAACATATAGCTTAATCTGAGAAAGGAAGGCTTACTGAATGATTCCACCAGAAACTGTTGTCATGCTGCTCTACTTCTTTTATAGGTGATAAAATATGATGGTTTGTATTGACTTGGTGATCAATGCAACTTGTTTCTCATTCATACAAAGATGGATATTTAAATCCAATTACAATGAGGACTCAAATAAGGATAGATATAAATACACAATCAAAAAAATAAAAATAGAATAAAGATAAAAATGAAACTACATAATGCATAATAAGGGGAATTAATAAATAATGACGGCTATGAAAAGTCAATAAACCTAATAAATCTAATACTACCTCTCAAGTTGAAACATAAATGTCAATCATGTTCGACTTGAAATTGAAGTTATCAAACAAAGGACGAGAAAAAATTTTGGTGAGAATATCCATTAGTTGACCACTAGAGAATACAAAAAAAAACACAAATTTCCCCGCACTCAATCTTGCAACCAAGCTAGGAAAATGGGGAACACTTTCAAAGAAGGAGACATCAGCACTCACATAGATTTTGTTATTAGCAGGATCAAGACACTGATACCCCTTTTGCTTAGCGGAGTACCCAAGGAAGATACATTTTATGGATCTGAGATCAAGTTAACTTCGATTGGGAGCAGTGTTTCGGAGAAAAGCAATGCACCAAAAAATATAGGGGTCTAAGGTGGAGAAGACCCAACTGGCAGAGAAGCATGACATTAGAACGACTAGAGGCTTCAAAACTTGTGACTTTCGGAAGAAACTCTATTTATGAGATAGGTGGTAGTGAGAATGACATTGTTCCAAAACCGTTTTGGGAAATTAGATTGAAACATGATGGAACGAGCAACGTCGAGAAGAAAATGGATTTTTCTCTCGTTCACCCTATTTTCTTAAGGAGTGTCCGTACACGAGCTATGGTGGAGGATGCTCTTACTCACCAACAATTTACCCAAAATAGAGTTGAAAAACTCACAGCCATTGTTAATCCGAAGGACATGAATAAAAGTTTTGAATTGAGTTAAAATGAAGGTATAGAAGTTTTGGAAGCTGACAACAACCTCCAATTTGTCTTTTAAAATGTAGACTTACGTCATTCAAGTGTGGTCATCAATCAAAATCAGAAGCCACCATTTATTGATGTCGCTGGGAATGCGAGAGAGTCCCCATAGGCCACTGTGAATGAGAGAGAAAGGAGCACAGTGTGTGTAAGTGTGGGGTGGGTAATGAACGCGATTATGTTTGGCTAACTGACATGTCTCACAATTGAAATTGAAAAAAATTTTATTAGAAAACATCAAAGAACAAAATTTTTTAAAATATTGGAAACTAGGATGACTTAAACGACAATGCTGCATAATGAAACATTCAACGACTCCAGATAAAGAGGTGTGTTCTCACTCTCCATGCTCTTCTCTTGATAGTAGTAAAGTCCGGTTACCCTCTTAGCAGTTCCAATCATCATCCCCGAAGAACGATTCTAAAAAACACAACCAACAGAAGAGAAATTAACAACGCAATTAACATCATTCGTCAACTTGCTGGCAGATAATAAATTATATTGAAATTGGGGAACATGTAAAACAGTCTCTAGAGTTAGATCAGTTGTTAGTACAACCAAACATTTACTAGAAATGGAATTATAGGAGCCATCGTCAATTCTGACGATATCCTTTCCAGAATACAAATATTAAGTAGAGAAAACTTGTGAGCATCCAGTCATATGATCCGTGACACATGAATCAATAAATCATGGACTAGAGGTGGAATAAACCGTGAAAGCCATATGAAAAAGTAGATTGTCGCATCGCGGGTGGGGGGGAGTCGTCGACGGACCCGTAGAGACTTGATGGGCTCTAAGTAGCTTGATCAATTGCTCCATTTGGTTTCTCCGGGATTCAAAAGATTTTGGGATGTTCCAGGCAAGAGTTGGTTGCATCGTGGTAGATTCAGATGTTGCCGTGAGGCCCTTGGTAACAAATGATTTGGCCAAAGGTTTGTATAACGGTTTACCGTGAAGTTTACAACACTTGTTTCGAGTGATGTTAGGTTTGTGACGGTAAACACAAGCGGAGAGACCGGTCCGAGGTGACACGGACGAGTGCCGATCACGATTCGAGAAGATTCTGATTGAGCCAAAAAAGATTTGATTGTGATTTTGAGCCATCGATGAATTCAAGTAGGCTCGCGACAGATGGATACAATTGCAAAAATTCGGACACCTGCAGGGATGCTAGTCTGATGTAGGAATTCTGTTGGACAGATACAATTGCTCTTACAGAGGAAGGCAGAGGAATTCTGCTGTTGGAATCAATTGGCGACGGAAGAAGGCAGAGGAATTCTGCAGTAGGAATCAACCGGTGGAAGAAGAGCCAACAATAGGAGGAATCAACAACGGAGGAAAAAATAGTGACTACAGGAAAGAACACAGGGAAATCATCCCTGTAGCACTGGTGCCCACTGGAACTTGCGACTTGCAGGAAGGCTATGCCTGGTGATTGCACAGTGGGTCTATTGGAACTGCGGGACCCTGCATAAAGTGTATTGGAACAGCGGGAAATCGAAGAAAACCAGCGGATGCACTGGACCCTGTGGCTGCTATAACCAGCAAATGAGACCAACAGCTAGGAGATGTCGGACGCCGGAACCGACAGAGGAGACCGTTCGCTAATGGATTTAGGGCTAAGTTCTGATACCATGTTGAATTGGTGAACAAAAAAGTTTTTTCTCAATGACTCAAAGAGGGGTATTTAAACTCAATTACAATAGACTCAAACAAAGAAAGAAATAAAAATACAATAAAAAAAATAAAAACAGAATAAAGATAAAAAGAAAACTACATAATGCAGAATAAAAGAATAAAATGAATTAATAAATAATATCGGCTGTGAAAAACCAATAAACCTGATAAATCTAATAGTTTGCATTAAAATATATAATTTATGCTTATAAATACTCTTGTAAGCACAAAATTTAGAAATTTGCTTGTTCTTATTAAACAAAAACCAAGATGCGTGGTTATAATTATGACAACCAAAACCAAAAGAAATTATGAAAATCTCAATGTCAAAATCCCTAATATCGAAAATGACTAATCAAAAATAAAAAATTGTTCACATTAAGTTTAAAATTATATTCAAAAGAGATAATTCTAGAAAATCCATATAGCAAAGGTTGGAGATAAATACTAAAACCATTAAATCACATAAATTGAAGCATTGATGTAAGCATGATGAAAGAAAAAGATGTGAATGCGGCTTGAGTTTGGCATCAAACGCCAACCTAATTTATAAGCTTACATCTCAACCTTAAAAATATATTACACAATTTATCTGATGTACACGTAGCAAGAAGTACATGGCATAAAAAAAAGGGGCATTCATATACATAAACAATTCTTATATATTTACATATCAAACCTAAACTTTAATATTAACACACATAACGCTCAAATCTTTAAGATGACGTCAAAAATAACACTATTATCACTTTTTAAAAATGAAATGTATCTTTTCATGCATAGATTTAAAGCATCAAAATACTACCGTATGTAAATATAAAACTTTAGGCGTGACATATGTAAATACAAAAGAATTGTGTGCTAAATATGTAAGTTTTCCTTGAAAAAAAAATAACATAGATAGATCAAAGAGCATTAAGAATTGAATTGCGCAACAACCAAGAATTCATCTATTCGCTTACTGTGCTCTAGCTTAACTATTATACTACAAAGCATCTCTGACGTATTTGAATGTGACAATTATCACTTGTGCAAAACCGTTTGAAACCCCTCATTGCCCGTACACAGCTAGAGCTGAGTATCCTAAAAAATCTCTTTGGTATGGCAATCAGGCTGTGGATGTAATCCGACTGGATCACAATAATATTTGGCAAAACAATCAATTTAATCGACAACATCAGGTTTAATAGGCTATGGAAAAATGGAATTATGTTTGAAATAAAAATCATCTAACACAAGCAAACTAGAGCTGAAACTTGTGGGGAGGAATGCTCATTTTCATGTTAAATGAATTGTTAAGAGGCTAATAGTTGACTTTCTAAGAAGCGTATGGCATTTATAATACAGGGGTTTTAAATTTCTGGGTGTTAGTTAAGTGCAAAACAAATGTAAAATAACATTTTGAGAATTTAACAATACACCTACTAGGCCATTTTTAGTGTACTCTAAATTTGCCCAAATCAAGCGAACTCAAGACACAGGACTTCACAGACCTCCACAATACCATGTAAATCATCACGAAAGCTTGCGTGTGCCATCCTTTGCCAAACCAACTTGATCCCATATCTCATGTAATTGCTTGAAAGCCCTCGCTTAAAACCACCCTACAGCCGTCCTTGAGCCCAATCCCTTGTTAGAAAAATCACATTCATCCGACACTCCGGCACAAAAATAAAACAAAATAACTTGAGAAAGTATTATTGAGAATAAATTTTGAAATGCCTTGAATATCCCTATTGTAAAAATATTTCCCTTCAACATTCAAATGAATAGAATCGTTACCCTCTTCATGAAAGAATGTTAATCATAGCCTTCTTGTACTAAGGCAATTCCAGATGTTATGGATCACGGAGAAGACTTGCAACCCAAACCCAAAAACAGTCCTAAAATAGTATGTACACGAAACAAGAAGTTTGTGTGCAACTATGATTTAAGCAGGAAAAAAAAGGTATTGATGGCACAACAAAGGTATATGGACTAACTTTTCTTTAATAAAAAGGCAGTCAAGTTCTATATGTTTATTTCTCTTGTTAAAAATTAAAATTAAGGTTATATGCAATGCTGGTTGTTATAAATCAATTTCATTTGCCTCGTTTCTACTTAAAATGTTTTTGAAAGGGCTGCAACTTTAGGACTTCATAGGAGGTCACCCATCCTAGTACCACTCTTGCCCAAGCAAGTTTAATCTCGAAGTTTTGATGGAATTCGGTGGACTCGCGCTAGTATGATCACATGTAGCCATTGTGGACAAAGGACAGTCTTCTATCATTGCGAAGGAGGGAGTATGATACCGGTTGTTGGGCAGCCAGAATCAAGCATTTGAAAAAAGAGTAGAGTCAAAGTTAGTTAGAGATTCCAACCAGGAGGTCTTTCATTGGTAAAGGCTAGGGGAAGGAGGGTGAGGATAACATGGGAGTGAACGAATTGACCACAATTTTGTGTAAGCAAACATGCTTTTGGGGTTGGCCTGCAATCCCGCCCATCCCAAAAACATAAAGATGAGTTGTTGTTGGCAAGATAGGAGAATGATAATATTACCTTAGTGTGTCACAATATTATTGTGCTGTTCTAAATCACCTCGAAGAAGCTTTTTAGGAGTTTAGAAGTCGTTTGGATAGAATTTCTGATCCAGAATTAACCTCCAGAATAGAGCTTGACGTCTTTATCCCGTACTTGGTCATAGACCCTATATGTATTTAGGACTGTTGCTAATAGTAGGAAGGGAGTTGACTATTGCTTATGCAGACAAAGGAACGACTATTGCAGAAAAGGAGGAAAATTGACTACTGATGTTGTTGAAGCTGCTGCAGCAGCTGCCATTGTTGTTGCTGCTACCATTGCTATTACATGACAGGAGAATTACGATGAAGAAAGTGCCTTCAAAGAGAATCCAATGGAGTGTTTGCTGCTAAGAAGATTCCAGAGGCATATTTTGAACGAATGAGATTCTGCAGAGATAATTCTGGTGCAATGAAGAAGAGGAGGAGCTCCGGAGGAAGGCTTGCAGATCAACTGAAGGGATTCCAAAGAAAGAGGGTCTGCAACAGGAGGATTCGACTTCAGGGGGAATTCCAACAGCAAGGAGAAAAGTGAATGACTTGTAGTAAGAGATACAACTACAGGGAAGATTAGGAAGGTTCCGAGCTAAGGACTTGCGGGGAGATTGATGGCTGTAGGAAAGGGAAGCCGGGAAGGACTTACAGATAAGGGCTGCGCAGAGACAATAGAAGGCAAGAAAGAGAAGGGATAGGAGGGCCAATAGATGAGAGATGTTGCAACATTTATATTAGCCAAACGATGCTTCAGAAGAGGTAGACAGGCTAGCCAGACTAGCAAACCAAGCAATCAAGCAATTTAGAAGAGCAAACGACGTTGACAAGAGGATGACGTGGTTGAGCGATCCAGACGAAGCCAAAACCGGATGATGAACCTTGTGCTAATCCCATCGAAGATGAACCTGACACTCAGCTCAATGGGTCGAATCGTGCCTGGGAAGAGGGATCACATACAGGAATCAGAGGATCTAGACGTAAATGAGGTAATCACGATTTACAGTGATGCAATACAAAGCGCTTGATCTGACGATTATGACACAGATAACAATATGGACACAGACAATGGCATCACAACTTACAGTGATGCGAAACAACAATGATTCATGCTCATTGGTAAACCAACGAATAGAGTGAATACAATCGCGATTCAAGCTGGACAAGTTGGACGACTATTGGAGAGGCTCTGATGGCTGCAGGAACGATAATAGAAGGGCTTGGAGGTTAAAGGAGAGCTAGAGTTTGTTTCCTTGCTCTGATACCAACAAACTTTGGGAGGAAAAATACTTCACTTTTTTATTCACATGTAGGGCACATATATATATAGAAAAACCAATCCCTTCAAACATACAAACTTATCAAATATATCTGGTCTAAACTAGGAAAGAAAATAATTTTGAAATAAAAAAATAAAAAAAACATAAAATAGGAAGGGAGTAAAACTAAGCAAGATGTTTCTAAAGATACCCCAAATCAAATATTTTCATAATTTTGTGAAGCAACTAACCGACCGATCATGGATAAGAGCCGAACTTCTCAGCTTTCGACAATTGGAATAATGTTTTGCGAACCTCAATACACCATCTTGCATTTTTTTTATGAGTAAAAATATTATATCAAAACAACCAGTATCAACAAAGTTCCATGATACATATAGCATTTCTTACTAAAAATTATATCACCTCTAGCAAAGTTCCATGATCCATATAGCATTTCTTACTAAAAATTATATCACCTCTAGCACTATTATTCTCTATTTTTGGTGTTGTTAAACACCTTGCATTATCTTTTGAACTTGCAATCTATTAATACATATGGTCAATGCTTGTAATGTTAAAGGCGTCTTATGATAAGAAAAAAACTAAACTTAGGGTGATGTGTACATGCAGATACCTTTTATAAGGAACATCAAAAATGCAAAATCGAATTCACCGTATTCAGCTTCTCTGAGTGGATTTGTCTCAATATCAACTCTTAGAATTGCTCATGATGCCTGAAAGTTTTTATCTTTGGAGGTTTTTTATTTCTTCCTATGTATGCCTACAATTCCCTTTTTTAAACTTTTACTACTTCCCAGGTTTCAATTTGTTTTCTATCAATGGCATTTTGGAAGGTTCATTACCCATGTAAGAGGCTGGCAAATCAATATTAAGACCAAGCACAAATTACCCAATGATAATTAAAAGAATGTCCGGCTTGGAAAGAGCAATAAGAATGGAAATGGAATGAGCTTGGCGCCTCTCTTGACATAATACCTCTCCTTAACGAAAGATGGGATCAAATAATGGTTTGTATTCTGAGAAAGAAATAGCAAAAGAGATTAAAAATTGTCTAGTGGCAAAACAATAGCACTCATGCTCCGTCTTAAATGGGGAGTAACCAAAGAATACGCATTTAATTGCTTTAGGATCTAGTTTCCCTTTTTCCATAATAGTATTATCTACAAAGGAAGAACAATAAAGAAGAAAAGATGTGAGATGACATCACCCTTATCACAAATTCTTTTGTAACCCTTGCGACCAGTGCAATCGAAATAGAACACGAGCGGTGTGCTCTTTACTTATGATAGTGTGAGATAAGTTAGTTGTGAATTGGTTTTAAAACATTTTTTTTAGCTGCATCTGATCTACAACTTTAATGTGTAGAGCCCAACAATAAGGTGTTACGATTACTTGATGGTGGCAGAAATACTAAGCATATAATATTTAAGATTTCATGAACAAAGTTGTCTAAGCACATGGAATACAGGAACTTCATTCAGCGACTGCCATGACTGTCAAATTGGAGAACTTACAAACGGGCATCGATGAATCATTTGGAGGCGCGAGTCTTCGGGGGCTGGCTTTGGATGAGCAGGTCGTCGTAGGGATCGCGGCGACCCGGAGCTTGGCTGATCTGGGCATCATAATGGATCTGAGCGTTAAAGCGATCGAAGGTCCAGAAACCATAGGGGCGGAGAGGGTAACTCCACATCTCCTTTGTCTTCTTGCACCGCTCTTTCCTGTCATAAATCTGCTCCCTCGCCTTCCGATCCCTCTCATGCGGATCCTCCATCATTCTCAGTATCAAATTCTCCGCAAACTCCATCACAAACTTCATATCTCTGCTCGATTGATGAATCTCTCCGTATCGTATCGATCACTTGTCACTTGATCGGTGCTTCCCTCGCGTGTCGTTTTATTAGGGTTAGGGTTGAAGGAATGAAAATGTTGATGAGGTATAGGCTCAAGAGTTATTTATGAGTTTGATTACATTCATATTGCAGATGTAGGACAATATATATATATAT